TTTAGGTCATGGTAAAGCTTTTTGCCCCCTCCCTTCCATGGGAATCTATTCCTAGACACAGACTGGAAACAAGCTCTGTTTGAGTCTGACTCCATCACCGGGACAGGAAATTACAGCTGTGAACCCAGTGGTTAGCATTCTCTGGTGTGGCCTTCGACTTACTAATAAGCGCAGCTGACATTTCTGCTCAGCCCATCTCACGCTCAGTTCCTGCCGACAAGGGGTACATTTTCCCAGTGGGTGCCAGTCATTCACTCGTTTGTTAGTTCACTTGTTCACCCAGTCTTGACTCCTGTGCACTCTGTCTTCTCAAGGAACTCACAGGCGTGGGGGTGGGGCCTCGGTTGCCAGGCCTGCAGATGAACAGGTATGTACATGGTGAGTGGGAGCTTGGGCAAAGTGGGGTCCAGTGAGCTCTCCTGGCTTGTTCTGCTGTGAGGACTCAGGTTCAGATCACAAGGGCAGAGAGTATCGATGGGCTCCCAGGCGCGTGGGGGGAGTCTGGTGGGAGCCAGCAATGCTGGCAGCTCCTACGTTGCAATGCCTTCTAGTCCTGTGGCCACATGGTCTCGTGTGTTGCCCTCCGAGAGCTGTTTTGGCTATACTTGTGCCAGAGAAACCAAGTCAGCCAAAGGCGAGTTTACCTAATCGACCGGTGCTTTTCAGAGTCTGGATGCCTCAGTGCTGTTGCCCCAGGGTCAGGCCCATGTTTGACATTTAAGATGCCAGCCAGACATTTTCTCTGCTAGGTGGGCTCCCCTGAGAGGTTTCACCGACTCCTGTCTTTGCTGGGCTTCTGCCCTGTGCCTGTACCTCATTTGTTGCTGCCTCTGCATCTGGTGATGGAAGAGCCCTGGCAAACTGTCCTCGGCCTGCCTTTCAGCAGGTGGATCTTGGTGGAGTGATGTGGACTGTGCTCTTGGGCGAGATGCACCAGCCCCCATCCTCCCCTCCACCTCTAGCATAGTTTTGGTCCATCCCAAATGCCTGGAAGACTCTATATGGTTGACTTAGTTTGACTCATCTAGGTCCTCTGGGTCCCACTCGCTGCATCAGGGGGCAAGTGGGAAATAGAGGTTGCTGGGGACAGGAGGGGCATGAATAAGACAGGACAGGCCTGCTGGCTCCCTTATCTGCCACAGCCGGTGGGCAAAGATGTCACAGAAGTGATCCTGACCCCGAAACCTGAAGGAGCTCCAAGTAGGGGAGGCAGCCAGGCCTCCTAGGTGCTGGGACCAGCCTATGCAAAAACACAAGAGAGGGGAGCGGGTTTGATGTGGTGGGAGACGAGCAGGAGGAGTGGAGGAGACAGAGGGTGGAGCCAGTGGAGGGCTGTGGTGCACATCGGCTGGAGTGTCTGCAGGGTGAGCCCTGGGTGTAGGTGCAGTGCCGCTGGAGGAAGAAGATCCAGGCAAGGAGGCCGAGCATGAGCAGGGGCCGCCGGAGGGACCAGAGGCAGGGCTGAGGGGTCTTGGGAGAGGTATGGAGGGATCCACATCGTCTGGGGCAGCAGCTGCTCGACTGCTGTTTCCTATCAAAGCCTGGTCTACAGTCTCCTGTTGGCAGCTAGCCAGTGGCCCTGCCCATTGGGCGAATGTCTGGCAGGCCCCGGGCCTCACCACAGAGAGCCACCCTCCTAAATTGACAGCAGTGTGTGGGGGGGGCAGGGAGGTAAGAGCTTCTGGATGTTCTCCTAAGACGGGTCAGTAAACCCTTCCTGCAAAGGACCAAATGGGAAATATTTTAGGCAGTGCAGGCCACTTGCTCTCTGTTATCACAACTCTGCTCTGCATTGTGCATGAGAACAGCCACAGACAACTGAAAACATGGCTGTCTTCCAGGAAACTGCTGCTGACCCCTGCCCTGTCCCACGTGGTCGGCAATATTAGCACCATATTTTCAGCTGATGGAACTGAGAAGCAAGAGATGGTCATTTGCTCAGGCCAGTGGTCGGCAAACTCATTAGTCAACAGAGCCAAATATCAACAGTACAACGATTGAAATTTCTTTTGAGAGCCGAAAATCGACTTCTGCGCATGGGCCATGAAGTTTCATTCGCACTGTATGTGCCCGCATGTGGTGTTCTGTGGAAGAGCCACACTCAAGGGGCCAAAGAGCTGCATGTGGCTTGCAAGTCGCAGTTTGCTGACCACTGGCTCAGGTCATCTAGGTGAGACTTGGGAGATCTGGGATTTGATTAGAAAACCTGTTTGCTGCCCTGATGTTATTTTTTTATTTTTAATTTTTTTCTTTAACCATGCGGGATTTATTGAAAAACCAAAGAATGTTGAGAGATGGATTTGCAGCACAGAGAAAACAGAGGGCAGAGAGCAGTGGGTAGGAGAAGCATGGCTATTGAGCATCCAGTCTGACCCTCAGGCAGAGGCTCACGTGACTAGCTGTTGACTGGAAGGGAAACCAAACATAAATTGAGCCCTGGAGGTTGGTGGAGGATTTTTGCTACCTGAGTCAGAGCCAGAAGCAAGGAAGAGCACCAGCTTCTAGGTCATGCTGCAGAAAGATTTATCCCGACAGCAGATAAGTTGCATCCTGGTCCCGTGGGAGTAGAGGCTCATGGATGGGCACATATTCTCACATCCCTGAACCATGAACTCAAGATTTCCACCTTTGAAGATCTTTTTTAACATGCACTGCTGGGAACTCTGAATGGTGCAGGATCCCTCTCCACGAAGGCATTTCCCTTCACTACTCATATAAGAGCATGTGTGGCATTTTACTCCTGGGCCTTCACTGGTTGCTGCTGGACTGCCTGAAGGCTGTTCCCCTGAAGCCTGTCCCCCCGAAGCCTGTCCCCCCCGAAGCCTGTCCCCCCGAAGGTTGTCCAGTGGCAGTCTGCCCAGCTGCACCTTGATCACTGGCAGCTTGTACAAGCGCAGCCTCCCTGATGTTATTTTTGTTAGAGTGGCCCTTGATGTGCAGAAGTTATTTTTTTTTATCGGACTTGTTCTTTGCTTCATGGTAAGAAAGGCCTCTGCTGCCCCAAGATGACATCAGTGTTTGTCCACACAGTCATAGAGCTTTTATTTCTGCTTTTCACATATTTAAGTTATTTTGTGTGAGTTTATTTTGATACGTTGCAGAAGCAAAGATTTAAGTCTTGTTTCTTGCTCCCAAAACGGTTTCTTGCCCTGGCAACATTTATGGATGAATCTGTCTTTCCCACAGGGAATTAAAATGCTGCTCTGTATCCCATGTTGAGTGTTTACAGTTAACATTATCCCGTGGTCTTGACCAGATTGTCTGTTCGGTTCACTGAGGGCAAGTCAGGAATGGAATTTGAGATGGGTGGTCCTTGGTGCTTCAGCCTGGAAGGCCGCCATGCAGCAGCCCTGCTCTGCTGTCACTTGCAATGTGTGCGGTGGCAGGTAACGAAGAAGGAAGTCACAGTGAATAGACTAAACAGATAATGGGATGTGTGGTGCTGGGGATGGAGAGAAAATTACAAGTTAGGCAGCGCCTCTGCCACTGAGGGTAGCCGCCTTGAAGAAATATAATATTTATATAATATATAGACATCAACCCAAACGTCACCTACTGGCTCTACTGCAAAGTGAAAGCATATAAAGTTAAAGTCTATTGAAACTGTGGATTTTTTTTTTTGGGGGGGGGGTGTGATACTAGGTCTGGGACCGTGTCCTTTCCCACCATTACCACCATTGTTCCAAAGGCAGCGTGGGGAAGGCAGAAGGGACAGTCGTCTGACATCCTGATTCCTGTGATGGACGTCACAGGATTCCTAGTATCAGAATACTGTTTTATTTGTGTCCTTGGTCATTTTTATGTTGAAGCAAATACAGGCTGTGGTCCCGGAGGCTGGAAATGCACAGCGTGGAAGGGAAAGGTTCTACCAGCATGATGGTGAGGATTGGTGTGGAATGGGTCATTGCTATTTCTGTGGCTTATGTGGGACAGCGCCATGAATTTCTTAGGTGTATATAAAGCATTAAGTGAGATAGTGCCAGTAGGGGCTTTGAACAGAGCTATATTTGTATAAGGGTTCAAATTTTAGCTAAAAGGAAGAAACCAACAATCCATACCGTTTTTCTAAAGAGGATTTGGAGCAGTGCATTAAAACAGATAAGAAATAGAGACCAGTGGTAGGCAAATTGACACAGGTGGACGTACAGGCTGGAGAAGATCAGAGCAGGGTTAGGGCACATCCTGGTTGGCACATGGCTAAGTACACTCATTAGATGTGTAATTTTCTCTGTGAGCTTCCTAGTAGCCACACCAAGAGAGAAACATAGTTTATAGGGTTACTTAAGTGGAAAAATCCCAAATAACTCCAGGAGAAATGAGAAGCTTCTGGACTTGAAATCTGAGTGACACAGTGAACGATGTCTTGAATGCATGAATGGGCAGTGAGAACAGTTGTGTGATATAGGTAGGAAACTTGGGTGGTTATTTAATACAAAGGCATAGTTTCCTATGGGTGAATACTTCCTATTTAAAGCTATCTAGGAGAGGAGCTCCTGTAAGCAATTATGGACTGTGTTTTGAGAATCCCCTTTCCCCCCCTGTGTCGCCTGTATGCTGACTATAGAAAACCAGATATCTTAGTAAACTTGAGGATTTCTATGTCAGTGTGGACCCAAGTGTCACTCAGTCTGCTGTGTGATCCGCTGTTGATAGGCAGCTGTAACTGGGAATGTGCATCGTTCAGAACAGATGTGGTCCAGCAGCAGGGACCTGGAAGCACTTGGAAACCGCAAGCCTGCTATTTCCAGGCAGCTAAGGGTTTGACAAAGAGACAATCCACACATATTTCATCCTGCCCTTCTGTTTTGTGTGGCTAATAAGAGTGAGCAGCTGAGCCCATTGGCTGGATAAGTTAGGCTGTATAGTAATTACTTTTGAAGGGGAAAGGGAACTTGTGTAGACAAGTCACTATAAATAGCCCATAACCCAGATTGGTGGTTGGTGAGAGGACAGCAAATAGGAGAGTTCCCTGGACTAATGTGGATGTGCTTTCTTCCTAGGTGAACTGCGCCAAGCCATCGTGGCCATGATGAACCGGAAGGATGAGCTGGAAGAAGAGAACAGGTATCTGACCTCCAGGGACATTCTAACTCTGGGACTGAAAAGATGAAAAAATTCTGCTTTATTGGCAAAATTGAATTGTGACCAATGATTTTGTATTTCTTTTGGTCTGCAAATTACCACTTTAATATATATATATAGTGGTTTGAATGAGCAAGGAATGAAAACCTCACATTCATGGCACCACCTTAGAATAAGCTTAAAATTTGGTAAAGCAATCTTTTTAAAACTTTAAAAAACAGCCTTACTGAGATAGAATTCATGTATCATATAATTCACCCATGTAAAGTGTACAGCTCAATGGTTTTATTATGTTCACAACTATATGAATCACCACCACAATTTTAGAACATTTTTATCATGTAAAAAGAACCCCATGTACCCTTAATGGTCATCTTCAGACCCAGTGAAGCAATCTTTTGAGTAATTTTTTTTTTTAAATTTCTTTATTGATTAAGATATTACATATGTGTCCTTATTCCCCCATTACCTCCCACCCCCCATTCATGCTCTTACCTCCCCTATTGTCTGTGTCCATTGATTAGGCTTATATGCTTGAGTAATCTTTAATTGAGGGTCTATCTGCCATGTTCCAGGCACTTGGAATACTTGGCTTTAAGTTTTTTCCTCTAATGGGTACTTTGGGCAAGATGGTACTTGAATTCTTTTGACTTTCCCAAAAGCTCAGGTGCAGACATTGAGAGGGCAAAGAGCTATCTTTTGTTCCCTGTTGAAACCAGTGCTACAAACCAGGTATCGTCTGTCTTGCTACCATCTGGCTGCCCGATGGGAGCCTCTCGACTGCCAGACCTTGTCTAGGCTGCAAGGTGGTCAGGAGAGAGATTTGCCTGCCTCTCTGGGTGTTGGGGTGGGTCAGGTGCCTCTATCTGTGCACGTCTGTGTGAGCTTGTGCTCATGTCACTCTTATTATTATTTTTTAAAAATTAAATTAATTTTTTTTTATTTTTTAAAAATTTATTTATTTTATTGATTATGGTCTCACATAATTTTCCTTATCCCCCCATTTCCATCCCAAACCTCTCCCTACATATGCCCCCACCCTCCTGTTGTCCATGGCCACTGGCTAGGCCCATATGCATGCACACAAGTCCTTTGGTGGATCTCTTCCCCTTACCCCCACCCTCCCTTACTTTCCCTCTGAGGTTTGAGAGTCTGATCGCTGCTTCTCTTTCTCTGGGTCTGTTTTTGTTCATCAGTTTATGTTGTTCATTATTTCCTCTAGATGTGTGAGATTATATGAGCCAAGAAATACCCTTGTAAAAACCTAAACTGCAACAAGCCATAATGGTTATGCTGAGAGGCAAATGAATCAGTCTATAGTGATTTCCTTTCTGGGCCACAAGCTCTTTTGAGTCCCAATTTCAATGTCAAATAGTTCCTTATGTGTACATGTCAGCCATGATATTTCAGATCTGGTCGGTGGACAAATGGTGGTAATGCAGGTCAGCCCGTCTCTGGTTTGGTCCTGGGCATCCTTCAGCAACACGCAGCTGGTATGCTGAGGCGTCATCAGCATCTTCCATCTCTGAATTGTCTCTTCTGTCTTCATGGCTGGAGCGCTTCTGTCTATTCCTCTCTGTTACAGGATTTCAGATAGTCTTGGAGTTGTTTTAGCTGCCGTGATCAGTGTATCTTTGGATGTGGAGGTCCGAGAGTCTGCAGCTGGGTTAGCAGGATATTGGCTGGAATTGGTGCTGGGTTGCGGGGCAGTTCCAAGGCCTTTCTTGGTGGTGGTGGTGATGGGTTTCTAAAAAAGGCAAGTGTCATCTAGATTGGGGAGAGAGATGCATCAGAATCAGTAAATACTTCCCAGAAATAGCCATTTGAGGTCAGTAAAGTAGGTGGTCAGCAGACCAAGCCTGGCTCGCTCCGAGGTGCTAACTTAACAGTCATTTCTGGACAAGCCGCTGTCTAAGACCAAGCATGGCAGATTCACAAGTGCGTGTGTTTTGGAGGGTTAACAAATTCCAGACATAAATCTAATATGACATGTGCAATGTCAAACTCTACAGCTCTATAAACTCTCTTTGTGCTTGTTTAACGTGGAGGTGGCTGGGGTCAGGGTCAAAGTGTGTTTTGTGAGTAGAATTGGAAATGAGGATAGACATCTGTCAGGTAACTGAGCCTGTGTTCTATTTTGATGGCTCAGGTTATTGTTTTGGTTTGAATTGGCATCCTTTCCTTTGTTAACTCTCTTTTTCAGTGTGGCTGTGACACAGTGGCCTCCGTTAATGTGCTGCACCTTTGGGCGGGATGTCTGTGAAGGGGCTTGCCTGAGACTCGCTCAACTCACCGTTTCTCTTGATTACAGCTGCCCACAGGTTATACGGACATGGGGCTCATGCTAATGATTACTCTGAGGCTTTTGAGCAGAGTTTGGTGTCTCCTTAAATAAATTCATAATGAGATAGACTAGAATTATGGCTTATGCATAGCCTTGTGGAAAACAAATGATTAGGTCTTGACTAAATGACTGAGTCCTGGGCTCGATGGACTCTGGGTTCACAGCATCTGAACGGATGGGCCCTCCTCTTCCAGATCACTGCGAAGCCTGCTGGACGGTGAGATGGAGCACTCGGCTGCCCTCCGGCAAGAGGTCGACACCTTGAAGAAGAAGGTGTCTGAGCAGGAGGAGCGGCACATCATGAAGATCCAGGCCTTGGCAAGGTAGGAGGGCAGAGACACCCGGGGTGGGCCTGGTGGGCCTTATTAAAGCCCAAGCACACCTTTACCAACACTATTAATTAAAAAGTGTTGTCACCAGTAGCAATTTATGCATTTGAAATTTTAATATTTTATTGAATACATGTTGAATAATAATGCACACACATGATTCAGAATACAAAGCATATAAATGGTTAATGTGTGCAATGTCCAGTGACCACGTTTGCCCAGGGGATGGGTGATATTACTGTTTCCAGATATGTCCATGCATGCACACATCTCTGGATGTGTGTACTTGCTTTTAATTTTCCTCCCTGCCTCCCTTTCTCCTTTCTCCCTTAATGCACAGTGGTGGCGTGTCTAACTCACACTCACTCTACATCCTGGAGATGGTTCTGTGTTGTGCACAGGGCTGCCATCTTTAGTAAGTAATATTTCATTGACTGCACCAGAATTAATTTGACCGGTGTACCAACAGCCAGGCATTAATGTGGTTTCCAGTCTTTTGCTACTTCTATTAATGCCACTGAGAGTAACCTCTGCGTTTGTTATTTTGCTCCTACATGACAATATTTGTTGGAAAATTTATGGAAATAGAATAGCAGGTCAGAGTTCTGTGCTTTTCTCAGTGGAGAGATCCTCAACTTGCCCTCCACGGAGGCTGAGCCAGCCTACGTTCCACAGCAGCAGGGAGAGGGCGTGACCGAGCAGCCCACAGGGGTCGGCTCCAGCCTCTGGGCCTTTGATAGCATGCTGGTGAAACATGGTGCTGGCAGACTATTTTTCATTTGCATTTCCCTAATTAGGAGTATGGCTGAGCCTATTTTTATTTAAGAGCCATTTTATTTTTCTATGACTTTGTTTATATCTTATTATGAAAACTATACGGGGAAACTCCCAAAATCCCAGCTCCCATAAAAACACGCATCTCTACAGAATTTGTTCACATGGAAAGATACTTTTATGGGCTATATTTAACATCTATAGCCTGTCACTGCTTAGTTTGCCTCTCTCCCCCCACTTAAGCTTCTTGTTAACTGTTTCTGATGCCTGGATGTAGCATTTCACTGAATTAATGTCATATTAAATAAGCATTTGCTAGACATTTGAGTGGGTCCAGTTTTTCTCCCATTTTAGGTAAGATAAACAGTTTATTGGTTGTTAATGTAACACTACTTTGAAGTAAGACCAGGAGATAAGTGTGTCTTGGGGGCATGCGAGGGAGGCTAGAGTTAAGTAAACTTGCAGCAGCAGCATTTATCGTCCCTGTGCTGTCAGAGCGAGTGGCACTAATGTAATTGTTATGATGTGGAATCGAAAGTTGGCACCCTCGTCCCATATTTAACTTTAATTTGAACTTCTCTCCTTTCTCTACATTTTAAAATGACACCTCAAGAGCATCAGAGACAGTTAAATGACTACAGCAAATGCCTAATTTGGCATTTTGTCAGCTGGGCCACCATTTCACCTGGCCCGGCAGGATTCTGTGGTGGAATGGTGTTTGCTCACAGTACAGGCTGCGGTCTATGGAGAGCGGTTCTGATTCATCAGAGAAAGACAGACCTATATTCCCTGCCACTTCGGATTGTGTTAGGAGTCAGCTCCATTGTGTGAAGATGGCGAGTTCCTGGGTGAACTGCTTAATCTTCACAAGTGTGCACTTCCCCTTTAATAACCTGGGGAGGCCAAGCTACCCACATGGGAGGACTGAGTGAGAAAGAGTTTGTACATAAGGTTCTGGACACCAGCGAGCTTTTGTGAGCGTGTTTTACAGGAAGTGTATTTTAGCCTGTGATAATTCTTAGGAAAATTTTTCCCAGCAATGGAGTAGAAACATTTTTCTTAACTAAGCAGTGTTATGACATCAAGTCCCCTCATTTAAACAATGGGGGAGCTAAGCGTTTAAGGTGACTGAAGGTTCACAGTTTGCAGGTACAAGGAACATTTGTAAAAGAAGCAAATACTTCAGGAAAAAAGAAAAAAAAAAAGGAAGAAAACAAACAGGGAGGCTGGATGTGTATGTTCTGAAAAATCCCGCTGCTGACGTGTTCCAGGCACAGTTCATCTTTGCCACCTGCCAAGCTTTCTTCTTGCTACAGAAAGAGCAGCTGTCAGTGTTCTCAGGTGGGAGCGGGCGGGGCATTGATGCTGGGCCAGGCCTCTGTGAGCACTGGGGCACCCTGTTCTCCGGTCCACATGTGTTCAGGTGGCAGGTATCATAATGCCAGTGGTTTAGCCAAATGGTTAGTGGCAAGGATTCTGGCATGGGACTGTGGGGGTCTGACTGTGGCTCTAATGCTTATTAGTTGTGTGACCTTGAGCAAGTTACTTAATGTCTATTTCCCTAGTTTTAAATTTCGGATAAGAAAACTCTCTACTTTCTAGGATTGTTGCACAATAAAATGAGAGACCATATGTCAGCTCAATAAATGTGCTTCATAAATGCTCAATAAGTGTTAACTATCATTATCATTTTTCTTTAGTATGGTAATTATATTTCTAAGAAACCCTGCCACATTAAAAGTTACTTTTTAACAGCAGTGGCGTAGAAAGAATTAAGCACTAGGCTATTTCGGACATAAAAAAGTGAAATTATTTTTGCTGTAAGCATTCTAAGAGTGTGTTTGTGTGTATGAGTGTTTTACTGGTTCTGAGTATATGCCAATTGAAAAGCTGAAACATCCTTGAACAAATTCATCATTTTATTACACATCTCTTTTTGCTCAGAATTCACGGCTTTCCTTTCATGCTGTCATGGCTCAACCATGATCAGGGACATATATCCAGCCAGTGCTTGTGTGGCCCAAGCGGCTGCTCGTTTCTGAGGCAGCGGCGTCATGATCAGTGGCAGCTCAGGGTGGTGCGTCTTGCTCCCTAAGTAATTGATTGCCATGTTTCCCATTGAATGAAGAGAACTCGGACTAGGAGACGGGTGTTCACAGAAAGAAGACACGCGTTGACATGAGAGGTACCTTTGAGAGAAGCAAGTGAACAGGGTTGTGCATTACTGGGCAGGCATTTTTTCTTTCTGTTCATTGTATCAGTTATCTCTTGGTACGTAACAAACTATCTCCAAACATGCACCTTAAAACAAAAAACATTTACGATCCTCCAGGATTTCTGTGAGTTGGGATCTGGGATGGCTCAGCTGGGTGGTCCTGGCTCTAAGTTTCCCACAAGGTTGTAGTCAAGCTTTGGCTAGAGCTGCAGTCACCTGCAAACTCCACCAGGGGTGGACGGGCCACTTTTTAATTTTCATTCTTTTTAATGTTCACCCGAGGAGTGAGGATATTTTGTCCATTGATTTTTAGAGAGTGGAAAGAAGGAGGAGAGAGAGGAGCATCTATGTGAGGGAGACATCTGAACAAATGAGAGGAGACCAATAACAAACTGGTTCAAGTTACAAAAGGAATTTATTGGCTCACATAACTGAAAAGCCCAGAGGAAAAATAGCTTCAGGAAAGATTGCATCTATTGGTTGCCTCATAATCGAACCCGTGATATTCTGGTGCTAGGCAGACACTCTTAACCACTGAGCAATGCCAGTTAGGGCTGGAAGGGCCATTTTTTAGTTCACTCGTGTGGGGGTTGCCAGGAGCTCAGCTCCCTGCCTTGTGGGCTTTCTTCACGTGGCTGCTCACAGCACAGCAACTGGTAACTCTAGAGAATACACCTGACATGGTAGCCACTGTTTCTTTTATAACCTGGTCTTGGAAATGAGACACGATTATTTCTGCTGCATTCCATTGTCACACAGATAACCTTGTTCATGTGGGAGGGTCTGCACATGAGTGTGCATGCCAAGAGGTTGGGGTGGGGGGTCATTGGGCGCCATCTTGGAGGTTGCCTACCACATCCACCATGCTTCTGTTTCACCTTGGGACAGACACTACCCTAATCTCTCCTGGATGGTTCTTCCTCATCCCCATTCTGCACATGTAGTTTGGTGCAATTGACGCTACCATTGCCTGCCCTGGGTTCCAGAACAGGCCAGATGATCAAGGCCTGGCCGTCAGCTTGTCCCATCCCTTGACCATTATGATTGGGTTAAAGAAGAGTGTGTGGCCAGGCTGCTCTGAGGAGCCGATTTCAGCATTCTTGAGGGGATTTGGTATAAGCCAGGAGCTCGTCGGCAGCTGTCTGCTACTGTGTGGGAAGATGCTGGCCTCCCCATGGTGACAACGTTGTGCAGAAATAGAGGGATAGATGGAGAGAGAAACCCACAGGTCCTGATCCCATTTGAGCTCCTGGACCCAGTCTTTCCTGAAGCTATTTTCCCCTCTGGACTTTGCAGTTATGTGAGCCCATAAGTTCCTTTTGTAACTTGAGCCAGTTCGTCACTGGTCCTCCTCTCTTTGGTATCTGGGGTCCTGACTAACGAGGCTTCCTAGTTGGAATGTTAGGGGATTGGATCAAGTTGTGTTTTCTATGTGCTCCCTCAGCAGCCAACCTGCCAGGTCCACAGAGAGACTTGCGATTTGTTGTGATTCATTACGGGTGGGAACACCCCCCTGGATTGTGCAACAGAGCACTGCTCAAGGCCTTTGCTTCCTGTTTCTCATGTCGGGACCAGCCTTACTGTCATTCTTTGTCACACTGGTGCACTAACAGGAACATGTCAGTTGTGTGACCACAGCTATTCTCTTTCCCCATCTGAGCCTCTGGGTCATTGTCTGTTTAAAAATATAAGAGGAGGTGGGTGGCATGGGCTCCCTCCAAGCTTCATGTAAGGATGCTGTGCACTTGTGTCCTGACATAATAGTCTTAACTAATATGAAAATGCTTTTGGCAGTAGAAACCCAAACCAATTTAGCTTAGGTCCACAGGGGAATTTAGTGTTGCTGTAACTAACTGATCTCTCTTCAGGCGTCACTGGACCCAGGTGCTCTATGAGGTCGCGCTCTCCTTCTCCCCTGCCCATGGCTCTGGCTCTCTGTGTGTTGTCTCCTTCGTGGGCAGGGCCTCTGCACACAGCTGCAAAGATGGCCTTTGGTGGCACTTCA